ACTTAACCCAAATGTCTTGTACTCATACGTCCCGCATCACCCCTTAACATATGTCCTGAACACTCTTCCTGGTACCTAGCACTTAACCAAAGGGTTTTTTTTCCCCTACAGTCTGTCAACCCCTTAACAATTACATGAACCTTTCTTCTGGTAACCACACTTAACAAGTGTCTTGTTACTACAATCGTCCTAGCATCAACCACTTAACATTGTCACATGAACATTTCTTTGGGACCTAGCACTTAACCAAAGTGTCTTGTTTCTACATACGTCTAGATCAAACCCCTTAAATTATGTACTGAACACTCTTTCCTGGTACCCAGCATTAACCAAGTGTTTTGTTTTTCACTACAGTCCCGCATCAACCATTAAAAATGTCCTGAACACTCTTTTCCTGGTCCTAGCACTTAACCGTGTTTTTTTTGTTATACACTAAGTCCAGCTCAAAAAAATTAACATATGTCACATGAAATTTCCCTGGTACCCAGCACTTAAAAAAAGTGTTTTTTACAAAAATACGTCCCAGCATCAAACCCCTTAATTGTCACTGAACCTCTTCTCCTGGTACCTGCCTTAACCATGTGTCTTTTTACTACCTACGTCCCAGCATAACCACTTAACATTGTCACTTTAAACACTTTCTCCTGGTACCTTGCATTAACCCGTGTCTTGTTTTTACATTTCGCCTAGCATCAACCCTTAAAATTGCACATGAACACCCTTTTCCTGGTCCTGATTAAAAAGTGTTTGTTTTCTACACTACAGCCTAGCATAAAAAACTTAACATATGTACTGAAACACTTTCTTCTGGTACCTAGCATTACCCAAGTGTTTGTTACTACATACGTCCTAGCATCAACCATTAATATTTCACATGAAAAACTCCTTTGGTACTAGCACTTAACCAAGTGTTTGTTATCCCTACAGTCCCCAGCTCAACCACTTAACTATGTCACATGAACACTTCTTCTGGTACCCGCACTTAACCCAAAGGGCTTGTTACTTACACGTCATTGCATAACCCCTTAAATAGTCCAAAAAACCTCTTCTCCTGGTACCCAGCACTTAACCAGTGTCTTGTTCTCATACAGTCTAGCATCAACCCCTTAAATTTTGTCACATGAACACTCTTCCTGGTACCCAGCATTAACCAAGTGTCTTGTTACTACACTAAAATCTGCATAACCCCTTAAATGTCACAGAAACTTTCTCCCCGGTACCCGCACTTAACCCTGTGTCTTGTTACTACCTACAGCTGATCAACCACTTAACATATGTCACATGAAAAACTTTCCCGGTACCAGCATTTACCAAGGTTTGTTTTTTTACACTACAGCCTAGCTCAACCCTTAACATAGTACATGAACACTCTTTCCTGGGACCCAGCACTTAAAACCCAAATGTTTTTTAATCATACAGTCCTAGCTTAACCATTAACTTGTACATGAAAACTTTCTTCTGGTACCCGCATTAACCAAAAGGGCTTGTTACTCACTACGTCCTAGTCAACCCTTAACTATGTCACATGAACACTCTTCTTTTGGGACTAGCACTTAACCAAATGTCTTGTTACTACCTCGCCGCATCAACCACTTAACATATGTCCCCTGAACACTTTCTTTTGGTACCTAGCACTTAACCAAGTGTTTTGTTACTACTCAGTCATGTAACCACTTAAACATATGTCACTGAACACCTTTCCTGGTACCGCACTTAACCAAGTGTTTGTTCTACCCTACGTCCCGCATAACCCCTTAAAAATTTGTCCATGAAAACTCTTCTCTGGTACCTAGCACTTAACCAAGTGTTTGTTACTAACTACAGTCCTAGCATCAAAAACCCTTAATGTACATGAAAACTCTTCCCTGGTACCCAGACTTAACCAAGTGTTTGTTTCTACATACAGCCCAGCTCAACCCCTTAACAAAATGTCACATGAAAACCCCTTCTCCTTGTCCTGACTTAACCAAGTTTTGTTACTACACTAAAGTCCTAGCATCAACCACTTAACATGTCACGAAAAAATCTTCTCTGGTCAGCACTTAACCAAGTGTTTGTTACCATACAGTCTGCATCAACCCTTAAAATTTTGTCACATGAACACTCTTTCCCGGTACCTAGCACTTAACCCGTGTCTTGTTCACACTACAGTCCCAGCATTTAACCCTTAAATTTTCACATGAAAATTTCTCCTGGTCCCGCACTTAACCCAAATGTTTTTTACTACATCAGTCCCCAGCATCAAAAACCTTAACATATGTCACATGAACACTCTTCTTGGTACCTGCACTTAACCATGTGTCTTGTTATCATACGTCCTAGCATCAACCCTTAACATGTCAATGAACCCACTCTTTCCTGGTACCCAGCACTTAAAAGTGTCTTGTTTTACAACAGTCCCAGATAACCATTAACATTTGTAATGAACCCCTTTCCCGGTCCCAGACTTAACCAAAATGTTTTCTACACTACGTCCTAGATTTAACACTTAACATATGTCAATGACACTTTTCTCCTGGTACCTAGCATTAAACCAAAGGTCTTGTTACTTTCACTGCCCAGCATCAACCCCTTAAAATGTCACATGAAAACCCCTTCTCCTGGTACCTAGAATTAACCATGTGTTTGTTAACTAACTACGTCTAGCATCAAACCCCTTAACATATGTCACATGAACACTCTTCCCTGGTACCCGCACTTAACCTGTGTTTGTTACTCACTACAGTCCTAGCATCAAACCCCTTAACATATGTCACTTTAAAACTCTTCCCTGGACCCGACTTTAACCAAATGTCTTTTTACTACCTACATCCTGCATCAACCACTTAACTTTTTTCACATGAACTTTCTCCTGGCACCCAGCACTTAACAAAGTGTCTTGTTATACAAATACAGTCCTAGCTCAACCACTTAACATATGTCCATGAACATTTCTCTGGACCTAGAAAATTAACCCAAATGTCTTTTTACTAACTACAGTCCTAGCATAAAAACTTAACTATGTAATGAACCTTTTTCTCCCGGCCTAGCACTTAACCAAGTGTTTGTTATACACTCAGTTAGCATCAAACCCCTTAAAAATATGTCACTGAACCCTCTTCTCCGGGACCTAGCCTTAACCAGTGTCTTTATACACTCAGTCCTAGATCAACCACTTAAATATGTCACATGAAAAACCTTCTCCCGGTACCCTGCATTAAAAAAGTGCTTTTTACAAAATACGTCCTAGCATCAACCACTTAAAATGTCACAGAACATCTTCTCCTGGTACCTAGCACTTAAAACCCAATGTCTTGTACTACACTAAGTCTAGCATCAACCCCCTTAATATAGTCACTGAAAATTTTCCCCGGTCTAGCATTAAAACCAATTTTCAAATTCACTACTTCCCGTATCTAGAACTTCCTTATCTTACAATTTCTACACTCGACTCCCGGCACTTAGACTTTCCATGTGTCCAAAAAGTCCTCCCTGGGAGTAAAATGTCAGAGGATTCACTTTCAAAAATAAAATCTGTGAGAAAATGATAAGTTGGTAACGAGAACTTCGAAAATTGGGTGCCTGTTTGTGTGACCCCTTTTTTAAATTTTTTGTTCTCTCTAGGCCCCAATTATGTTGACATTAATGCCTAAAAGGGAGGTAAAATTCAGATCTAGAGAATGTAGGGAGTCTTCACTGTAGTTTGTTCAATGAAGCACCATAATTACTGGGAAGTTTGAAGTTTTACATGTCTCTTTCGAATGCAAGAGAGAAAAATACACCATAATCTACAATGGAAAATCAAAATGGACTGGTCCCAAACTGCAGAGAGAAATCCTCACAAAGCAAAAAGATCGGCAGACGGTTTAAATGACCACCAAAGAAAAGCAGGGACAGGGGCCAAGACTGTTAACAACTTCCCACCATGATAAGGGGGACTACCAATAGACCCCCGGGTGTATTCAAAAAGGGGGGCTGGACAGACCCTAAAGCAGGCTCGATCAGCGGGCTGTGGTTTGTCGTTAATAATAAAAAATTTTTTTTAACTTCCCGTAAGTACAAGGGAAAGGGGAAAGTAAAGAATACAATCACGTAAAGATTACAAAATACAGTACAAGGGGTGAAGTACATGTCAAGGTATTCAAGTACACGTCAATGACATTTGCTCATAGAATTTACCTTTTTTAACATTAAAAATGTTAAGTAACAATGGAAATAAATGGTATCAAATACCGTCACAGTGGAAATATAAAACACATATGCAGTATATGTGATCCTTTATTGACAACGTTTCACCCACACAGTGGGCTTTTTCAAGTCACACACAGATCCGTGTGTGACTTGAAAAAGCCCACTGTGTGGGTGAAACGTTGCCAATAAAGGATCACATTATACTGCATATGTGTTTATATTTCCATGTTAAGTAACAGATGTTAGGCATGGAGTGTTAGCGTGGCAAATGGCTATGTGCTACCTACTAAGAATGACAGAATATGACAGCGCTGGTTAGGCAGCCCATCATTTTAACCACAAGTTTGGCAATGGTGTAAAAGCAATTGAATAGGTGATTATTAATAGAGCCTTAAACAGTTGAAATATGACTTAGTTATATCAGCCGTGCGCAGTGACTGCCCGGCTGTGTGAAGTGGCTGCCCGGCTGTGAGCAGTGACTACCCGGCTGTGACCAGTGGCTGCAGGCACTGTATATACGAAAGTGTGACATAATTATTAGAAGTACGGAAGGGTGAGTGCTAGGTGCAGGGAGAAAGTGTGTTAAACGTGAAACATGGATTTGTGTAGGTGTTGGGAGCAGAGTGTGATGACGTGAAACAGATTAAGTACTAGATGCGGGAAAAAGGTAAATACATGTATTAATATGGGCCGTGTCATAATGAGTGTATTGTTGATTACATGTTGTACAAGACTGAATCTGAGGGAAAACCATACCTATGTGAATAAAGAATAAATATCTGTTACTATGCAGCAACAGGAAAAGATTGTAAATTAATTGGTAAACATACCCTGTCGTCTGCAGAGAACCAGTTAATAGAGTCAGTAAAAGATCTCATATAGGCTACCTCTTGCTTGTTTATGGTTCTGATGGTAAAGCCCATTTGGTAGGCATTTGGTCCACAACAAACACAGCAGTCACTAAGGCTTTTCACTTTTGCTTGTAACACCACCTCTTTCTGGGAATTCTTGATCTTGAACACACTACCTGCAATGAGGCACAAGTTGACATGAAAGGTTCACAATGACCTGAAACAGAGTAAGACAGAGGGACGGAGTTCAGCTGGGTTACACACACTTTATTCTTCTGAAGGAATGTAACATACTAATAGTTCTGATTTCTTCCTAGCAGAGGCCCAGGTTAGTCTAGAAGCTAGAGTATCGGGCTATCAACTTACGGACCACGGTTCGAGCCCATCGTCAGCTCTGGTGGCCTGGTAGTTAAAGCTCCCGCATCACACGTCGAGGGCCTGGGTTCGATTCCCAGCCAGGGTAGAAACATTGGGCGTGTTTCTTTCCACCTGTTGTCTAGGTTCCTCATCAGTAAAATGGGTACCTGGGTGTTAGTGGACTGGTGTGGGTCACATCCCGGGTGTTAGTGGACTGGTGTGGGTCACATCCTGGGACAAAACTGACCTAATTTGTGGGAAATGCTCAGCATAACAAGTGACTTTCTATATAGTAGTATGTCATTGATGTCAGCTATGGTCTGTATACCTTGTACATGTACTGGTATACCTTGTACATGTACTGATATACATTGTACATGTAATGGTATACCTTCTACATGTACTGATATACCTTGTACATGTGCTGGTATACCTTGTACATGTACTGACATACCTTTTACATGTACTGGTATAGCTTGTACATGTACTGGTATACCTTGTACATGTACTGGTATAGCTTGTACATGTGCTGGTATACCCTGTACATGTACTGACATACCTTTTACATGTACTGGTATACCTTGTGCATGTACTGGTATACCTTGTACATGTACTGGTATACCTTGTACATATACTGATATACCTTGTACATGTACTGGTATACCTTGTACATGTACTGGTATACCTTGTACACGTACTGATATACCTTGTACATGTGCTGGCATACCTTGTACATGTACTGGCATACCTTGTACATGTACTGGTATACCTTGCACATGTGCTGGTATACCTTGTACATGTACTGGTATACCTTGTACATTATGGTTACCTTTCCATGTGCTGGTTACCTTGTACATGTGCTGTATACCTTGAATTACTACATACTTTTCCCCGTACGATATACCCTTTTACATGATGGTATACCTTTTACATGTACAGGGATACCTGTAATGACTGTTTTTCCTTTTCTGTGTGGCATATCTTTTTCATGTACGGCTACCCTTTTTCATGTATGGGGTACCTTGTTGTGCGGTATACATTTTACTGTACTGGTTTAACTTGTAATTTTACTGGTATCCTTGCACATTGCTGGAACCTTGTCACTACTAAATTTTCCCCTTTTCCCTGTATTGAAATTTCCTTGTACATGTACCCGGGAAATTTTTTGTATATGTACTGGTTACCTTGTAATTTATGGATAATTTACATGTACTGTTACCCTTACATGTATTGGTATACCTTGTAAAGTACTGGGTTTCTTTTAATGTATGGTTACCCTTTTAATGTACTGGTATCCTTTACAGTACTGGATATGTACATGTCTGGTGCACCTTGTACTGTTGGGATACCCTTTTAATGTTGCTATAATTTTACATGTAATGGGATCCTTTTACATGTACTGGAAAACCCAGTACATGTATGGTATACCTTGTACATGTCGATTACCTTGTACATGTGCTAGTATACCTTGCCCGTCTGGGTTTCCTTGTACACGTATGGTATACCCTTTTACACGACTGGTATACCCTTGTACATGTACCGGGACAACTTTGTAATTACTGGTATACCTTTTCGTACTGGGATACCTTTTAATGTTGGTATACCTTTCCCAAAAAGATGGTAAACCTTTTTCATGACTGGTATACCTTGACACGTATGGTAACTTGTACATGTACTGGATACCTTGTCATGACTGGTAACCTTTTACATGTCGGTGTACCTTGTACATGTACTGGTATCCCTTTTAAATGTATGGTATAACTTTTCATTTTGGGTACCTTGTACATGTATGGGATAAACTTGTACTTTTTCTGATATACCTTGTACAGTATTTGGTTACCTTGTACATGTGCTGGATCCTTGTAAAGTAATGGTAACCTTGTAATGTCCCGGGTTACCTTTTAAGTAGGTTACCTTTTACATGTACTGGGATACCTTTTACATGTTTTGTTTAAACCCGTCATGTACTGGTATACCTTTAACGTACGGAAAACCCTTTTAATGACGGAATCCTTTTACATGTACTGGTATACCCTTTGGGCATGTGCTGGATAACTTGTACATGTCTGGATACCTTGTAATGTATGGTATACCTTTTACAGCAATGGGATACCCTTTTACATGTATGGTAAACTTGAAATTATGGACACCTTGTACATGTACCCGGCTACCCTTTTAATGTACGATACACCTGTACATGTCTGGGAACCTTTTTACTGTACTGGGATACCTTTTAAGTGCGGCATACCTTGTAATGTACTGGCATACCTTTACATGTGCTGGTATACCCTTTCACATGTGCTGGTATACCTTTTACATTTTGGTATACCTTGTAAGATTGGGAAAAATTGCCATGTGCGGTTTTCCCTTTTACACCCCACTGATATGCTTGTACTGTACTGATATACCTTTTTGCCTGTACGGTTTACCTTGTATATGTACTGGTAACCTTTTACATTTATGGTTAACTTGTACATTTACTGATATACGTTTTTACTGTACTCGTTTAAACCCTTTTAAAGTACTGGGATACCTTGTACATGTACTGGTATACCTTGTACATGTACTGGTTACCCTTTTAATGTACTGGGATCCGTACATGTACTGGTGCACCTTGTAATGTATTGGGATCCCTTTTACATGTTTTTGCTATCATTGTAATTACGGTATACCCTTTTACAGTATGGTATCCCTTTCATGTATTGGTATACCTTGTACATGTATGATATTTTCCCTTTTAATTGTAGTAACCTTGCACCGTACTGGTATACCTTGTACACTACGGTATACCCTTTCAAGTATGGTATACCGTTACTTTTAGGTACACTTTTTAGATGTACTGGTATATTGTACAGTATGGTTACCCTTTTACATTACTGGAACCTTGACAGTACTGGTTACCTTGAATGTACTGGAAAAATTGTACATGTAATGGTATACCTTGTCATGTGTAGAACCTTGAATGTACTGTTTTTCCCTTTTACTGTATTTTCCTTTTACATTTTTCGTTCCTTGTACTGTCTGGTATACCTTGTACATGTCGATTTACCCTTTTACATGTATGGTATAAAATTTTACGTTGGTATAAAATTGTCATGTCTGGGATTTCCTTGTAAAAGTGTGGTTCTTTATAAATGTATGTATACCTTGTACTGTAGGTAACCTTGTCTGTACGGTATACCTTTTTAAAGTCTTGACCTTGTCTGGGGCTGGTATATTGCATGTTGGTTACCTTGTCATGTAAGTATACCTTTTAATGTACTGGTATCCTTGTACTTTTACTGATAACTTTTACATGTCTGGGAACCTTGTCAGCATGGTAACCTTTTTAATGTAGGTTTACCTTTACATGTCTGGTTCCTTATACATGTATGGTATCCCTTTTAATGTACAAGGTATACCGGTACGTAAAAGGTTTTTCGTACATGTATAAGGTTTTCCCCGCACTGAAAGGGGTTCCGTACTGTCAAAGGTTCCATGCATGTACGGTTTTTAAAGGAAGTCAAGGGTTACCGTCTGTAAAGGTATATCAGTACTGTATGGGGAAACCTTGTAAAAGTATGGGTTACTTCACCGTATGGTATCCTTTTACATGTATGGTTCCTTTTTACAGTCTGGTATACCTTTTCTGTGCTAGTATTTTCCCTTGTACTGACTGTTTTCCTTGTTTCGTGTGGTTAAACCTTTTTTTGTTGGGGATACCTTTTTCTTTTCTGGGTTTTTTTGTAAGTCTGGTTTAAATTTACAGGGATGGTAAGTCCCGTACTGGTTCTTTGGTAATGTATGGGGATAAAATTGTCATGGTGGTTTCCTTGTCATGTACTAGTTTTTTTGTCTGTCGGGTTTCCTTTTACATGTATGATAAACCTTGTCTGTGTGGGATACCTTGTACAAGTACTGGTCCTTTGTTGTCGGCTACCCTTTTCATTGCGGATTCCTTGTCTGATGGTTCCTTGTCATGTTGGTTTAACCTTTCAATGTGTGGTTTAAACCTGTCCGTAAAGATATACCTTTACATGTATGATTACCTTTTACTGTCGGTTCCTTGTTTGTCTGGTTACCGTACATTTACTGGTATAACTTGTACATTCTGATATACCCGTACTTTTACTGGTTTTACCTTTAAAAGGGTATTTTAATTACTTTTACCATACATTAAAACCCACATTACTTAACCGACATTTTCTTCACACATTTCTTTTAAATTTCATTTTCCATACATTTTCTTTCTTATTTCCCATTACTTAACCCTTTCAATTTAACCTTTTACATTACATTCCCCCACTTCCCCCCCCCCCCCCCCCCCCCCACATTATCCCTTTTTATTATATTGTCAGTACTGGTATCCTTGTCATGCCGGTTTCCTTTGACAAATAACTGGTTTAAAAATTGTTTTCATGTACTTGTATCCTTGCAACGTACTTTTGGTATACCTTGTTTTCTGAAAATGGTATACCTTGTAAAAGTACTGGTATACCTTGACTGTTGGTTAAAACCCCTTTTCGTCGGATAATTTGTACATGTACTGGATCCTTTTACATGTACTGGTATCCTTGTACCATGTATGGTTACCCGTACATGTACGGTTTTTACCTTTTAACGTACTGGGTTTTCCCTTTTACAGTACTGGAATGCCCTTTTACAGTACTGGGATCCCTTTGGCATGTGCTGGATAATTGACTGTATGGGATACCTTGTACATGTATGGTATTCTTTAAATGCCCTGGGATCCTTTTAAATGTAAAAAGGGGAAACTTGTACATTACTGGTACACCCCGACATGTACTGGTATACCTTGTACATGTCTGAATACCTTGTC